GTATTCTTAACCACTGAGCCATCTCTCCAGCCCCAAACTTAATTCGTTGTATGCTAATTAAAATAGGACTTGAAGATATAGAAATGGTCAAACTGTCTTCCAATGTAACTTAATTTTTAAATTAGATCATCCATTTCCTTAATGTTAAACTGTATAAGTTGTATGTTATGGATAAAGTTTCTTTTTCATAAATATCATTGTATATGACAGGGTTTTAATTTTAATGGAAATATAGCTTGTCATTTATCCCTTTTATGGATCATGCTTTGGGTATTACACTTAAAAACTCATCATTGTTCCCAAGGTCATAACTTTCAGGAGTTTTATAATTTTGCATCTCATATTTACATCCATGATCTGTTACAAATTAGTATTTGTGATCTGTGTCCAAATTGATCTTTTTTTTTTTTTTTGCATGTGCATGTACAGGCATCTCGGGACCACTTGTTGCAAATATAAGCTCTCCATCCTACTGTTTCTGCTCCACAGTTACTGATCATTTCTGGACTTTCTATTTACTGTTCCGCTGACTTATCGTTCAATTTAGAGTCTTGATGACCATAGCTTTATAATCAGTCTTGAAGCTGGGCAGTGTCAGGGCTCCAGCTTGGTCCTTCTTCAATGCTGTCAGCCTTCCTTGGACTTGGGTTCTTTCATATACATTTTAGAACCATTTCACCAGCATCCGCAATTCACCTGCTAGGGTTTGGGTTAGGATAGTTCTGGGTGTGACGATCAAGCTGTGATTCACTGATACCTGACAGTATGGTATCACCTTGCCCTTGAACACAGCGTGTTCATGTTTATGTCTCTGTTTCTCTTTCACCACAGCTCAATGATTTTGTTCATATAAAATTTGCATACATTTTATTAGATTTACACTAAGGTAAGATAAATGATGCTGCCTCTTAAATTTCAAATTCCCTATTTGTTGCTGGGATGTAGAAAAGTAATGGACTTTTTTATGTATGTGTAGAGGTGTGTGGATGTAGATGTGCACATGTGGAGGTCAGAGGTTGTTCCCTCAGGCTCCTTTCCATTTTTTGTTTGAGACAGAGTCTCATGTCTTGGATTTTTCAGACCAGGATGAGTGGTTGACAAGCCTCCAGAGATCTACCAGAGCATACCACACCTGGATATTTACACGGGTTGTAGAGCTACAACCTCAGGTCTTCGTGCTTTCCAGCAAACAATTTAACAGTTCAGCCATTGCGCTGGTCAGTTTTATGTGAACTTGACACAAGCTAGGGTCATCAAAAGGAGGGAGTCTTAACTGAGAAAACGACCCCATAGATTAGACTGTAGGCAAGCCTGTAAAATATTTTCTTAATTTGTGATCTGTAGCACAAATAATAAAAACCCAGAGACAGAATTGGGGTTCAAACGGAAGATCAGAAAAGCAAAGCAGTCAAGCCACTAGAGAGCTCTCACCTTAATGCAATCTTCAGACTGAAAGAGTGCGAGTTCCTGTCTCATCCCAATTTATATTCCTCTCCAGTGCTGAGATTAAAGGTGTGCACCACCACTGCTCAGCCTCTATGAGTAACTAGCGTGGCTGCTGGGATTGAAGGTGTGTGCCAACACTGCCTGTCCTGTATGGCTGACTAGTGTGGCTGTTAGCACTCTGATCTTCAGGCAAGCTTTGTTTATTAAGACACAAATAATAGATCACTATAGTGATTGATGTGGGAGGACCCAGCCCATTGTAGCTGGGGCCACCCCTGAGCTGGTGAACCTTGGTTCTATAAGAAAGCAGGCTGAGCAAGCCATGAAAAGCAAGTCAGTAAGCAAAGCTCCTCCATGGCTTCTGCATCAGCACCTGCCTCCAGGTTCCTGCTCTGTTTGAGTTCCTGTCCTCACTTCCTTCTGGGACAGTAAGTCAAGATGCTTCCCAGGTTACTTTTGGTCCTGACGCGCCATCACAGCGGCAGGCACCCTAAGACAGCCATCTCCACAGCCTGACCATGCACATACATGCTGAGACGTCTGCAAGCAAAGACAGTTTCACTTCTTTATCTCTAGTCTGTTGTTATTTCTTTGAAGAGTCGCGATTCTGTGCATTTTATTTCCTCTAAGCATTGGGACTCCCAGTACGGGCTGAAACGGAATGGCAAGTGACTCTCAAGTCAATATCTGTGACTCACTCCTGACATCTATGGGAAGTGTTGCACTTTCTCACTATCAAAAATGGTGTTAGCCGGAAGGTTTTGTAGGACTTTTTTGTTTTTAAGTCAGGCTGAGAAAGTTACCTTCCTAGTTCACAAAAGGTTTTTATTACAAGTGGGCGTTGATTTTTATCGGCTATTCTGAGTCTATTGATAGGCACCTGTGATTTTGTAAAATTCGGCTGGATAGGCTAGGTTACATGAATTGGTTTTGAGGTTAGCCTCATATAACCAGGTTAAATGATGTTTGCTCTCAGCCTAATTTCTTATACAATACTGAACCCAATTTGCCAGTTATTTGCCAGTTTTGTTGAGGTTTTTTACATCTATATTCATTAGGAATATTAGTCTGTCATTTTCCTATAAAAATCATTGTATGGGCCAGGCGGTGGTGGCGCATGCCTTTAATCCCAGGTAGAAGCAGGTGAATCCCTGTGAATTCGAGGCCAGCCTAGTCTACAAGAGCTTGTTTCAGGACAGCTAGGACTGTTACATAGGGAAACCCTGTCTTGAAAAAAAAAATCATTGTATGGTTTTGGTAGTAGGTTAATGCTAGTCTCATGAAAAAGTTAGGGAGCTCCTTCTGCCTGTCCTCTGGAGAGACAGTAGCGATCGGCTGCCACTTCCTGCTTCACGTACTGAGTCCGTGCGTGTCCAAGGCTTTTTGTTTTAGCAAGTTCTTCAACCTTGGTCAATCATCTCTCACAGATCCAGCTCCGTCACATTGTCTGCCTGCTCTGTGTGAGTTTTGACACAACAAAACTCTGTGTGAGTTTTGCTAAAACAAAAAGCCTTGGACACGCACGGACTCAGTACATGAAGCAGGAAGTGGCAGCCGATCGCTACTGTCTCTCAGGGTCAGCTGTATCTAAACTGCACAACTTCTTTGGGAGCTTAGGATTTGCAACTATGATACTTACACACTTGTAAAGAGCCGCAGCTAAAGTAATTCCACATTTGACTTCAGGAGGATTCAAAATGCAACTGAACCGCCTTTAAGAAATGCGGGAAATCTTGCAGGAGTGGTGTTTAGCCAAGCTATCGAGAGATCAGATAACTGCAAAATTATAGCAAAGTGTGACTGTTCTGTAAAATGTGGTTATTAACTCATTTATAGGTATTTATCTCTATAACATCAGTTGAGTGGTTGATCCAAAGTGAAAATTGCATGTCCGTGCATATTAAAATGTTTTTATGATATCTAAGAAAATGTTAGCCTCATATATGTACAGATGTGTATTCTTGCTTCAACTCTATCAGTGAACTTAACTGGGGGAAATTTTTGATGAAATTTTTCTGTGTATGGTTTTTATGTAAATAGTTAACAATGGTTTTAATCATGGGAAAGATACTCGTCATGAGCCTCATTTGTGTGAGCTTGGGTTTCACTTTGTTGGGGAGGTAAAAGGTCCAGGTTAGACAGAGTGGAAAGGGTTGTGGTGGCATGATTGAACTGTTCTCTGTTGACCAAGTTTGAAATATTTTCAATTGTTTTGATGTTTTAAACCTCTTAAAGTTTTTAGTTAAGGCTATAATTAGGAGAACGTCACATCCTCTCTAGGCAGTTTTAACATGGGGACACGGTTAAGTCCTCAGACTCATTTTATTGTCTTTTCCTGGAATTGTTTCCCCTCTTCCTCTTTCTTTTTCCCCCAATGATGAATATTGTACCTGGGCCTGTCTTCTCCAGCCCATCATTTTTATTGGTATTTCTCCATAATTTTGTAACATTTATCTTTTAAAATCAGGTATGTCTTTTCCTGAGCAGTCCCAGCCTGTAGCCCTCTGCAGTAATGTCTTTTGTGCAGACGTCACTTGGGCAGCTTGGCATGGTGTATGCTATTGCTGCAAAACCTAAATCCACTCTGGGGTCATAGCATACCGTTTTATGAACAGATCATGGCCTCCACCAAATGTTCCAGGCTCTGTCAAGCATATGGAGCCCAGTGGTTTTGTTTGTGGTTTTGTTTTGTACTACTGTGGATTCAACCTAGGACTCGGTGTGTGCTAGGCAAGTGATCTGCTATCCAGCTACAATCCCAAGCCTTCTTTATTTTTATTCTGAGAAAGGGTGTAGTGAGTTGCCCGGCTGGCCTTGAATTCACTGTGCAGCCCAGCCTCAAGCCTGAGAGCCTATTACCACTACTCTTCCGTGGCCGAGGCACAGGATGAATCTCCCTGCGTGTCTTGGTCACCCTGCGTGTCTTGCAAGGTCTTCTCTAATCTCCAACCGGTTAGTGAAATGAAATGAAAGAAGAACCACCATTCAAAAGAGCTAAGTCACAGCTCAAACCGTTCTGAAAAGGGGCTGAGAGGGAGAAGGGGTTGAGCTGATTTAGAGGGAAGCGTTTTTCTTTATGTCTGTGGGACTCCTCAGACAGCTCCTTTACAGTCTTTGCTGCCTTGGACCTCCATGGTCCTTGAAAGAATGTGCTAGTTCTGAAGATTTTGATATGATATAGAGCCTTTCTCCCTTATGGTCAGTGCCTTTGAAGTACGTTGGTGTTGTGGGAGTAACTTCCGCTGCCTCAACCAATAGTCACTGAAATACGAGCCCACAGTGCAGCGGGGAGCGACTTCCGCTCCGTCAGCCAATAGCTGCTGAAATACCAGCCCACTGGGGCGTGGTATATTTCTCTTTTAAAAAGAGAAGCATATCCGGATCAGGCCTTCTTGGTTCCGGCTCTTGGTTCCGGTGCTTGCTCCTGGCTCCTGCTCCTGGCTCCTGCGACTAGGCTCCCTTCCTGACGGTTTATGGTGTATGTAAGTTTTACCCCCCAAAATAAATAACCCCTTAAAACATAACTGGTGTGGGATTGATTCGCCGATAATTGGTGCCCAACGTGGGGCTCGAACCCACGACCCTGGGATTAAGAGTCCCATGCTCTACCAACTGAGCTAGCCGGTATGAGCTAACCTTCCTCTACTCTCATCATGTGCCTCTACAAGAAACTGCCCTCCAGGACATTTGGTTTTTTTTAAATTGAGCTCCTTCTGTTGCTGAGTTATAACCCTGTGGGCCAATCACAGCCTGAACTTCCATCCTTCACTCTGAGGAGTCATCAATAACTCCTAAGACACTGAGAAGAGAATCATTTCTGGTATTGATTCCCAAAGTGATCTGTCTTAAAATAATTAATAGGCCAGTATGCAACTTATCTGATCTCATTTAATTCATTTGATATTGATTTTAGAAAGATGCTCATAAAAATAATTTGAATGGCTGCAAAATCAGCAGTTATCACGGAACAATGGGAAGGTGGGTAGCAGAAGTTAATATGGTCTGAGTAAGAGGACATGTTGACCTGGTAGCCATTAAGAGTTGTGATTATCTTCTCACTTCCGTTAGTATCAACCCTGGCCCCACAAAGGACATAGTCTCTTTGTATAGTAACATGCTCCCTCCCCCTGATTTTACAGCTAATTTTTTTATAAACCAGAAATAATTCATAAAACATTCGTCATGGAGTGTCTAAAATGGATGCAAGCCAGGACAGCAGAGAATTGATTATTTTTCCCCCCTCTCTCTTTCTTAAACGTCCACCTCTGGGCTAGTAGGGTAGAGAATGCTCTGGGCCCAGAGTTCAGAGAGCTACCCTTTCCCAAAGCTGCCTGCACTGCAGGCCTCTGAGCATGAGTGTCCCCTCCTGGAACTGTCCCCTTAGGATCCGCCTCAGCACAGTCCCCATCCACAGCATCTAATTATGCTGTTTTGTTCCGTGAGGACTAAAAATGGATTTGCGAGGGATTCGTTTCAATAGTTCTGTTCTTAGTATCTATGAGAACATCGTTGCTATAATCTGAAGCTAGAATTTCACTGAACTTCCAGAAAAAATAATGAGCATTAATTGGTAGCAGGTTTTCCTGAAGCACCAAAGCCCTGGTCCCTCTAAGATCTGTCCCATGGTGCACTGCAAATACCTATGGCCGAGGCTTATGTTTTATTCATCTTAGGTTACAGTCCCTTGCAGTGTCTGGCCCAGACAGTTCTCATAAATGATAAATGCTCGAATGGACCTCAAATAAACCGTGGCAAAAATCCATCCACATTTTAAGAATGGGTTTTCAAAATTCTTTTATATGTATCCTTCCTGTGAAAATAGGCTTATTCTGGAATACCCACTGGAAATAAAAATGTATTGAAACTAAATATACGGTGAATTGTTTCAGTATATTCAAGTAGGTATTCTCCAAATTGAATGAGGTTTCAGAACAATTCAGAGAATAAGCATTTTTAAAGAAATAAGTCAGCTTAGTCAGGCTTAAAATCTCAGCTACTCTAAAGGCGAGAGGATGCAAATTCAGTCTTTCGCAAAAGCCAAGTGAAGGTATTTACTACTTAGTAATTAGCACATGTGAAGGGAAAAGATGGGTCTGGTGATTTTCTGCCATTCAGGAAGTGACACTGGGGTCCCTGAGATTGATGATGATCCAATTGGTGGAAGAAAATATATATGAAAATAATTTGGGAACAATAATATGCAAATAGTTCGTGGGTGACAGCCTGCTCGATTGAATTCAAACTTGGTTTTCTGTAAATACTACTTGTACGTTTTGGAGTGAATTTTGTAGTTTTAGTTTCTGATAGACCCATCGTAGTTTACATAATGATTTAAGGCACCTGAGAATGCTTTGTGCTTTGTCCCAAATGTGATTGACATTTTTCAAGGTAAAACTTTCAGTAAGGTCAACTTGCTTTATCAGTCTGAGCCCTTCTGATATTTCAAAGTGAAAAGCAAAAGCTTAAGGTCACAGAATGGCATCAGAGCGGGATTCTAGTTTGCTGTTAGATAATATTAAACTGCTCCTAAGCTCTTGTGCAAGAACTGTTGCAGACTTCCTGTGCAGACCGGGAGCTCTGATTGCACAACGCGTGGGACAAGCAGATAAACATGTACACCAGCTAAATAAGCCACAGTGTCAACCTGCAAAGGTCAAAGGTCCCTGTGGTGCCGCCAGTCAGTTGATGATGACATCTTTCATCGCCGGAAGGAGAGCCATGTCCTGTTTTTATGGTTTTTTTCTTTGTTTTGTTTTTTGAGACAAGGTTTTCTGTGTAGCCCTGGCTGTCCTGAAACTCTCTCTGTAGACCAGGCTGGCCTCGAACTCACAGAGACCCTCCTGCTTCTGCCTCCCAATGCTGGGATTACAGACGTGCGCCACCACTGACAGTCCTCTGTTTTACTTTAAGAGATCTACCCAGAGACCTTTCACATGCCATACCAGTCACCCACTTAAGGTGCACAATTCGATACTTCTTCCCACGTGGCAGTCAGCCCCACAGTGAGTTTTCAGTCCTTTAGCAGGCCGAGTGCTCTCTCCTGCCTTCCTTGTGCCCTAGGTTCTTACCGGGGACCTTTACCATAAGTGTCCAATATACAGCCTTTGCTTCTAGGCACTCATAAATATCTAATATGTGGTCTTTGGCGTTCTGCTTTCTTTAGTATTGCATTTTCAGATGTTGTAGACAATACCAAGCTTCTTTACATGGGCAAATAAAATTCCACTGTTTGAAAAGTGCAATGTGTTCTCTTCAAAGTTCCAATTCCCGAACTGTTTCTATTCCTCGGTTATCATGAAACATGGTGTTATGAATATTTGTGTGTAAGTTTTTGCATGGAGATATACATTCATTTCCATTGGATGAGCGTGTACACTTATACTCACAGGAAAGGTGGTAGTTGTGTTTAAGCTTTGAGGATCAGCTGGAAGTTTTTCCCTAAATGCAGCACCATTTTGCATTTCCACCAACAGTATGTGAGGGTCCCCCTTTTGTCCAAAGCCCAGCAGTCCTCGCTGTCTATGACTGCAGGCATCAAGGCAGGGGTAGAGCAGTGTCTAGGTATGGCTGTTATCTGTACTCCCCTGGTGACTGAGACTCAGCAACTTTTTCACCAACTCTCTCTTGGAAGGGAGCAGTATATAAAAAACCTAATTAAGTGGGCATGTTGGGTGCTATTTAAAATAGTTACTTTTAGACTTTAGTCTTGATTTGTTAGATAATGATGTTTAACAATGAAATGTCTACAATTTTGGCACAATAAGAATAAGTTAAATTAATAATAGTGTTGTCTGAGTTTTCGTCCTGCCCGGTTCCCACAGTAGTTAAGTCCCAAAGAAATCACACACAGAGATCTACATTAACTATAAACTGATTGGCCCATTAGCTCAGGCTTTTTATTAACTCTTACAACTTATATTAGCCCATTATTTTTGTCTATGTTAGCCATGTGGCTTGGTACCTTATTCAGCGTGGCAATCACATCTTACTTCTTCTGTGATTGGGCCAGAACTGCTGAATAAACTTTCCTCTTCTCAGAATTCTACTGTTCTTGTCACCCCACCTCTACTTCCAGCCTGGTTGTTTCACCTATACTACTGGCCAATCAGCGTTTATTTAAAATATAATTGGTAGACTACAGACCATTGTCCCATACCACTCCCCACCCCCCCTCTCTCTTTAATAAGAACATCCATAGTCCATTTTTTGGGAATGTGGGAATAGTTTTCCAGGCTACTTCCTGCTGGTTGGGAGAGCTAATAATCTTATGAGGACCTAAAGAAAATTTATAGTTATGATCAAGTCATGACTGGAGTATCCTATGAGGCTTGATCATCTCAGGCAGCAGTCCTGAATCTGTTCTGGATGTAGAACTTTGACATCTGGGCCATCTGTTCCTACAGGAGATTTTTCAGGTGGTCTTCCTTGATCAAACCTGATTTTTCTTAACTCAGAATGAATCCACAGCCTCTCATTTTCTGTGGAAACAAAATCAAAACCTCTTCTCCAAAGTAACGTATCTTTTGACTTCAATTTTGAAGTCAAGATATTTTCAAAACACCTATCTTGGATTAACTTAGCAGCATTTATAAGAAAATATCTTTTAGTAGCTGTTGTTCCTTCCTCAGCATTCAAAGAGAGCATAATAACATACAGTATCCAGACTTTGTGTATTTTTCATCTTTATGTGGCTTTATTCTAACCTCTATTTCTTTTCATTTTTACTTTTAATTTTTGGCTTTTTGAGACAGGTTCTCTGTGTTTCTTTGGCTGTCCTAAAACTCCATCTGTAGACCAGGCTGTCCTTGAACTCACAGAGATCCACCTGCCTCTGTCTCCCAAGTGTTGAGATTAAAGGTGTGTGCCACCACATCCAACTACTCTCTCTCTCTCTCTCTCTCTCTCTGTCTCTCTTTCTCTCTCTCATTAAATTATTTTAAGGACTTTAACCTTTTTCTTTTCTCTTCCAAGCCTACATACATTTTAACACACTGTAAAACATTTAGAGGTTTTCTTTGTCTTTGGATCTCTCTTTACTGTGTATCTCTCTTTTTATGACCACATGAGTCTTTAATTTGCTAAGCAATAGGGAGAGGATTAAAGCTGTGGCTTTAATGGATCCAGCCCATTCCTTAGCTTTCTTAGATTCCAGCCTCATGGCAGAGGTACCAGCTGTAGTCATGTTTATTGCCACAACTCTATGGCATTTCAAGGTCCCTGCCAGCAAGCAAGCTGCATCATTCTGCTCACAAACCACACTCAAATGCTCTGTAGCCAGACTTCCTGCCTGAAAGAGTCAGTGTTTACACTGGCAGGATGGCCCAGAAAGCTGTCATTTTAAAATGGCACAGCTTTTTTCCTGCTAGGGCTGAAAACCAAAAAGCATACAGTCAGCTTTTCATCAAGACCATTTAAATGTTTTGTGGCAGGACCTCGTAAAAGAGCTGCAAGGTTTTATAGCCAAAACTGAGTCAGGAAGCCCCTTTTAAATGAGAGCACTTGCCTCTAGCAAGCAGAGCCCACTCAAGAACGTGCCGCTATCAATAAGCCATGCTTAGATCTATTCTTTTCGTCTAGAATTACTTCCCAAGCTCTCTTCGGCTTTGTGTAGATGCAGTTGTCCATGTGTGAA